GTAATCTAATGACCGTTTTTGCGATAGTAAGCAGTTGTCTTGACTTGAACCCTCAACAAAGGAAAACAGAAGTTCCACTGAGCCCGACGCTTTTAGGCCTCCACAAAATACAGAGACCTTACCTTTGTTCCACTCCCCCACCGTATTACAGGGACCTACTCAAAGTAAATCCTTCACATAAATCTTTCACTTTGCCTTGTGAAGCTTTTTATGTTTGACCCGTCTTATATACATGATGCTATTTGTGTAATATATGATGTCATTGTTAGTTTGAGGAAGTGCAGAGCCCCACTGTGTTCCCTTGTTCACTGTGTGCAGGGGTTTGTAGACATAGAAAGGAGAATACTGAAAATGTTCTGTGGAAAGATAAACATCAGAAGTGGATGATCATACCTGCTCTAACAGGTGTGCTCGTCTCTCTTTCATATCACGTATTTCCATAATAAATGTCTCCTGAGAGATTATTTCATCTCCTGGATGACTGATTCTCATTTTCTCTACATGAGGAAAAAAATGGTTTTACAAGATTTCCAAAATACAAAGACAAGAAGGAAAAAAATCAGTGATTCTAATATTGATCTTATCATGTGTTGTCACTGAGGATCAGGAGCTCAAACTGTGCATACATGTGTATTTTGAGCTGATGCCATTTTGCTTGTCATGAGTAAAGCCCATGGCAATTATCGAGCTGCATTAACATGATTCAGCCTCAGCTTTAATTAATGGTTCCCACTGTACACTGCTGAAGGTGAACTGGGCTGCAGGTGGCCTGCCAATTAGTATAAATTTATGCATGCTCTTAGCAGAGACGGTTGCGTTATTTCTCTCATTTATGTCCGTGTAAAAGTAGCTCACGGTTGAAAATTGAAAGCCGGTTTTCGAGCACGTTCGCTGCCTCAGTCCTCAGCATGTTGAATGTGACCTCCATTTTGACTGGATGTATGAAGCCCTGTGCGTGTTTGTGTGTACAGGATGTTTTTCAGCTTGTCAACAGTTGAAGTGATACATGGCAGAGGCAGCGTTTCTGCCACCTAGTGAGTGCCAACCTGCAGTGCATGTGCATGCAATGCAGGAACCTGACACACCGAATACGAGAAGAAGCTGATCAGTCACAGTGTGAGCTTTGCCAAAATCATTTTGGCTACTTCCTGATCCTCAGCAGCATCCAGAAGATTGAAAAACAAAACAAAAAGCTTTGCAGCTTCCTTATTTTTTTATTTTATTTGTTAAAGATTTCTTTTCCATTCTTAACTGTGTATATATGCAATGAATTAACTTTGAGATATTCTGATTATTGAAGGAATTAACTTTGAAGAGAACAGATTTTTGACACAGCCTTTCGTTCTCAAACAAACAGGACTTCGACGAGTTATCACTCGTCAAATGATATGTTTTGTTTCTCCCTTGCAGGAGATGACTTGTTAACACCTCAATAAACTTTTCTTCATTTGCTTTCTGTCATTTTTTGCTGAACTCAAAATATTTTTGAGCAGAATTTGTCGCATTGTTGTCTTTCCTTAACTTTTTTTCTTTTTTTTTTTTTTAATTTTCAGGTCCGCTTCTCAATCTTTGCAAATTTTACAGTCGTTAAAGCATG